ATTGCACTTTTTCAATTTTCTGGAGCTTATATTCAGCTCCAGATATAGGTGCCTGGACGGTAAAATCCCAGTCTAAGGATATGATGATTGTCCTGGTGTACCCTCAGTGGCTTCTTTGGGATCAGGGTCAGTGATGTATCCTGGTTTTGTGCTGCCCTAGGCATGACAAAACTCAGACGCCCCGTCTCCCCGCGCCACCCCACCCTTCTCCGCCTTCTAAATACATACACACACATTCACTGACAGACACGCATACACTAGCTAACAGACATACACACGCACTAACAGACACATACACTCACTAGCAGACACACACATAGTAACACACTCCCTGACATACACACACTCACTAACAGACACATACACTCACTAGCAGACACACACATAGTAACACACTCCCTGACATACACAAACTCACTAACAGACACACACACTAACAGACACACACACACACTCACTCACTAACAGACACACACACTCACTCACTAACAGACACACACACACTAACAGATACACACACTCACTCACTAACAGACACACACACACACACACACACTCACTAACAGACACACACACACTCACTAACAGACACACACACTAACAGACACACACACTCACTCACTCACTAACAGACACACACACTCACTAACAGACACACACTCACTAACAGACACACACACTAACAGACACACACTAACAAACACCCACACTAACTCACTAACAGACACACACATTCACTCACTATCACACACACACACACACACTCACTAACAGACACAAACACACACTAACAGACACACACACACTCATTCACTAACAGACACACACACTCACTCACTAACAGACATACACACACTCACACTAACAGACACACACACACTCACACTAACAGATACACACACACTAACTCACTAACAGAAACACACACACTCACTCACTAACAGACACACACACACTCACTCACATTAACACTCACTTTTTTTTTAAATTCAATCCCCCCAGCCTCCTTACCTTTGGGAATGCTGGGGGGGTTCCCTTTCCCTGTGGTCCAGTGGGGCTGCTGAGCGGGTGGGTGGGCAGCGCTGGCGAGGGAGCACTGATTAGTGAGCTTTCTCTGCTCAGCTCCCTCGCGCGCCACACAGTGATGCCGGGAGCCTGAATATGACGTCATATACAGGCTCCAGTTGACCAGCATCACTCTGCGGCACGCGAGGGAGCTGAGCAGAGAAAGCTCACTAATCAGTGCTCCCTCGCCAGCGCCGCCTGCCCAAACGAACGACCAGATTTTTAGTTAGCCACAAGGCTAACAAGACATTTGCCCCGTGTTTTTTTGGCCACCCCCTGGAAAATGCCGCCCAAGGCAAATGCCTTGTTTGCCTCGCGGCTAATACGTCCCTGGTCAGGGTGTTCTGGTGTCAGTGCCACAAACCGGTATCCTCAGTGTATAGGAGGAGAAATAAAAACACAATATAGTGCTCTCAGTATAGTCTGGAATAAAACTAAGATAAAAAGTGGAGGTATACTCATAAGCTGGGAGCAAAGGGAATATTAATCAGTATAGGAAGCGTAGGTGGAATAATCTCCACCAAGGATATCACTTGCGAGTCCTCGGGTTCTTAATGATGAAATTGTGATGTTAAAAAGGATAGGCTGGAAGGCTCCAAAATAGCTAAAATTTGCTATCTTTATTGGAGATTAATAAAATAAAACAATATAACAAAAAAAAAAACTGTATAAAACACTAACGTGTTTCACCTGTTAGCAAGGCTTTTTCAAAGTGTTACAGCATACAAGACCTATCCTGTTTAAATAGCATTGCAATAACTGACATTCTAATTAGTGACATCATAGATCATGTGACCAGACATTCAGGTAAAAAATTGACAGTAAAAGGAAATAAAAATAACAGATTAAATAAAAGTGGAGGCCATCTTGGGTGTCCCCAAGGAACATGTTACATAGTTACATACCTGAAAAGAGACTTCTAGAAGCTGTTTGAACATCTGTATGGACTCTGATAAAACCACTTCTTCAGGTAGAGAATTCAACATCCTTATTGTTCTTACAGTGATAAAAAACCTTTCCTTTGCCTTAGACGAAATCTTCTTTCTTCCAGTCTAAACGCATGACATTGTGTCCTATGTAAAGTCCAGTTTGTGAATAGATTTCCACACAATAGTTTGTATTGGCCCCGAATATATTTGTATAATGTTATCATATCCCCTCTCAGGTGACGTTTTTCTAAACTAAATATGTTTAAATTTGTTAACCTTTCTTCATGGCTGATATGTTCCATTCCTTTTATTAATTTTGTAGCCCGCCTCTGCACTTTTTCTAGTGCCATAATATCCTTCTTTAGAACAGGTGCCCAAAATTGCACAGCATATTCAATATGTGGTCTTACCAGTGATTTATAAAGAGGCAAAATGATATTCTTGAGAATGAATGCCCTTTTTCATGCATGACAATACCTTACTGGCCTTGACCACTGCTGATTAACATTGCACATTGTTGCATAGTTTGTTGTCTATAACAATTCCCAAGTCCTTTTCGTGTGTTGTTATCCATAATTCGCTTCCATTAAGGGTATACGTTGCTTGTGTATCCTTTATGCCGAATTGCATAACTTTGCATTTTTCTTCATTAAATTTAATCTGCCATTTGAGTGCCCAGTCCCCCAGTCTATCTAAATCCCTCTGCAGCAAAGTAATATCTTGCTCACATTGTATTATTTTACAAAGCTTTGTGTAATCTGCAAACATTGAAACATGACTTTCAATGTTGTCTTCAAGATCATTTATAAACATGTTAAATAGAAGGGGTCCCAGAACAGACCCCTGAGGGACATCACTTGCCACCTCTGTCCAGCTTGAAAATTTACCATTAATGACAACTCTTTGTACTCTGTTTTTAAGCCAATGTTCTACCCAAGAACAAGCATTTTAATCTAGACCGATTTCCTTGAGTTTGAACACTAATCTATTGTGTGGAACTGTATCAAATGCCTTGGCAAAATCCAAATAGATCACATCCACTGCAACACCCTGATCTATACTTCTACTTACTTCTTCGTAGAACGCAATCAAGTTAGTTAGTTTGACATGACCTGTGCTTCATAAAAGCGTGCTGATTTTTGCTGATAACCATGTTCTTCTCAAGGAATTCTTGAATTCTCATGGAATTCTTGATGTCCTGGCGGCCAACTTGGTGTCCCCTCTTAAAGTCATTACATTCTTTTTAACCTCCCTTATCTTATAATAATCTGTTCGTAAGGGCGATACATAGATTAAAAACCGACTACAACAGGCAGGGAAATAGAGCAGGAAGACTCTTGGCCTCCCAATTGAAAAAGAAAACCTCTCAGATGAGGATACCCAATCTAGTAGACGGTAAGGGAACACAATTGGTTAACCCCAAAATGATGGTGGATGAGTTTGCAGTGTTCTATGAAAAGCTGTACAACCTCTCAGCCGACCCCTCCCTGCACCAACCAACATGGCCCAAAGTAGGCACATTCCTAAATGTGGTGGATCTTCCCCAGCTCTCCAATGACCAAGCCAACACATTAGACACCATACTTACCACAGACGACGTCTCCAAGGCTTTAAGAGACACCCCGAGGCACAAGGCCCTAGGCCCTGATGGCTTCTCCACCCATTACTATAAGGTCTTTGAAGACCAACTACTCCCACACTTAATGGCCCTATTCAACCATATCATGAAAACAGGCCATATACCCCAGGAAATGTTAGAGGCTATTACAGTCACGATCGCAAACCAGGCAAATCAATGGCACCCTGCGCAAACTACCGTCCAATATCGCTACTCAATGCAGACACAAAGCTTTTTGCAAAGGTCCTAGCTAACAGAATACGCCCCCTGCTTTGTGAGCTTAACTCCCCTGAACAATCAGGCTTTTTTCCTGGACGACAGGTGGAATATAATACCAGACGAGCACTGGACATATTAGAACTCATGACCACAGACAATATTCAAGGCCTAGTGCTGGCCTTGGATGCGAAAAAGGCCTTTGATCGGCTCCACTGGGGCTATATGATGGAAGTCCTTTGCAGATTTAAATTTCCGAACAAATTTATACACAATCTTCTCTCTCGCTAAACCTTCCCGCAGGATACAGTTATGAACTCGGGTTTCCTCTCCAGATGCTTTGACCTCATCAACGGCACAAGGCAAGGGTGTCCTCTATAACCTATTATTTTTATATTGGCACTGGAACCCTTGATCCACAAAATCAAACTAGACCAACAAATCGCTAGTGTTCCATCGCCAATAGGCCCCCAAAAATAGCACTTTGCTGACGACATCCTCCTATTCCTGACCAACCCGACAGACTCTCTCCCATCTCTTTTAAACCTGCTCCTCGACTATGATTGAGTATCCTACTACAAAAACAATGTATTAAAAACCCAAGTGTTACCTATGAACATAGCTCACTCCCACCTCACCGCCCTACGAGCACTATAGTCATTTGAATGGCGGAAAGATGCCCTTTCCTACCTAAGCACACAGCTGCCGCATTCAAAATACGCCCTTCTAATACACAATCACTGTAAATTACTGAAAAAAACAGAGACATTGCTGGAGAGCTGGGGAGACAAAAGCTCCTCTTGGCTGGGTCACATGAACGCCATCAAAATGATCATTCTCCCACATATACTATTCCTCCTTAGAGCCCTCCCAATTGAGCTCCCAAAAACAACCCTAAAGAGCTTTCCACACCTGCTGAATGCACACATTTGGAAAAGAAAACCCCCAAGGGTCTCTCTGGTGAGCATCAATTTGGGCATGAGAAGGGGAGGAGTTGGGGTATCCAATATCACCAAATATTGTCTAGCTACCAACTTTGCCTATTGTCTAGCTACCAACTTTGCCCAAACTGCATGACTTTTGTTGACCCCACAAAACCCACTATGGCACCAACTGGAAAATGCAATTAGCGCACCACACTCATTGAAAGACCTTATTTGTGTCTCTGCCAGAATCTACCCTGAATCTAAACTTCCTAACATCCACATATGGTTACAGTGGGCCCCAGAAATGCTAACAAAGCCTATAGATGCATACGCCTCTATACCTAGCTTGCAATACCAAACGCAGGATTTGGCTCTAGAACGTTGGATAGAGAGAGGAGTAACCACGCTTTCACACCTAGTGAGAGAGGGTGGGTTGTGGCAGTTTCCTGAACTTCAACAAATGTATCTCCTCCCTGGTATGGAATTATTTACATACCTACACATTAAACACATCCTGAGAGACATAGCAGTACCGGCAGGGGACACTCAAAAGCTGCATGCATTAGACACAATGTGCCTGGGTCAACAGACTCCTGCCAAACCACTTTCACTGTTTTACCAACGTTTATTAGGAATGGACAGACTAGCTAAATTTAGACATATGCAGTGGGAGGAGGAGCTTAAATGCACGATTGAGCCAAGCAGGTGGCTTGCGGCAATGACGCTGGTGAAAAAGGCCACACACTGCTTAGACCATGTAGAGGCAGCCTACAAATTGTGGATGAGATAGTATCTCACCCCCCCAGCGCTTAGCCCATATATACCCAGGTGCATAGCAGATGTGCTGGTATTTCTGCCAACATATGGGCATCCTGAGCCATATCTTTTGGCATTGCCCTGCGCTCACTGTCTACTGGAGCTAGATTCAAAAGCTAATAGAAACAAAATAAAAAAACCCTACCACTGCTATCAGAGACCTATCTGCTCCATATGCTACCCAACACGCTTTCACAGTATGAAGCAGCACTGATCACCCACATTACGCTGGCAGCAAAAAACTGCATAGTTACCCTATGAAAATCGACCACTGCACCAGAACTAGCGCTAGTTATTATTAGAATAAACCAAACACAGAAATACGAGAGGATATCACATACGATAACAGGCACTTTAGCGGTGTATGAACAAACCTGGTCCAGATGGACAGAGCAAACCACTCTAGACACAAAGAAACCCTAGGAACAACCTCACCCTTTGTCTACCACCAAGATGAGAAGTGGCAATACAGAACCTTTACACTGCACCATTGAAACTGGTATGGTAGAGTAGCGTCTAGCTCATCCCCCCCCCCCAGTTACCCCCCCTCCCCCATTACCCATTAAGGTTCTATGTTATATCCCAACAAACAACTCTGTATTAGAGGTGATTACTGCTCATTTGTATGTTTTATGATAGAGAGGAATTACAGGTATAGTGATGAGCATACCTTGTCGTTGCAAATGGATAATTAGCCCAAAAGCTTCTAACGATACCACAGAACTGAGCATTAATGGCTTAGCTTTTCCAGACATTGCTACGATTCCCCCTTTACTACCAATGTATACTGTGTAACAAACCTCTGATCGCTTGCCACTAGAGTTGAGCGGACACCTGGATGTTCAGGTCCGGTGGGTTCCGCCAAAATTTTAAACAAAGTCCGGGTTCAGGCTCGAACTTGACCCCGAACACGAATCCCATTGAAGTCAATGGGGATCCGAACTTTTGGCCACAAAAATGGCTCTAAAAATTCCTGGAAAGGGCTAGAGGGCTGCAAAAGGAAGTAAAATGGGGGTAAGATTAGGACAAGTGCCCTGCAAACAAATGTGGATAGGGAAATCACATAACAATAACATAAAATAAGCAGCCACTTAGTAGATAACTCCCTAATTCCCACGGGGCCCTAAATAACAATAAGGGGGGGACCTACTGTCCTCCACACCCTTGAGCGGTGGGTGGGGGCCATGAATAAAAAATGGGGAGGGACCTAATGTCCTCCCCCTGGCCCCCACCCCTGAGCGGTGGGTGGGGGCCATAAATAAAAATTGGGGGAGACCTAATGTCCTCCCCTGGACCTCTACCCCTGCGAGGTGGGTGGGGGCCCTAAATAACAATAAGGGGGGAGACCTATGGTCCTCCCCCCTCACCCCCACCCCTGAGCGGTGGGTGGGGGCCATAAATAAAAAATGGGGGGGACCTAATGTCCTCCCCCCGGCCTGAGCGGTGGGGGCCATAAATAAAAACCTTATTGTTATTTAGGACCCCCACCCACCGCTCAGGGGTGGGGGCCAGGGGGGAGGACATTAGGTCCCCCCATTTTTATTTATGGTCCCCACCCACCGCTCAGGGGTGGGGGTGGGCGGGAGGACAGTAAGTCTCCTCCCTTATTGTTATTTAGGTCCCCCCTTATTGTTATTTAGGGCCCCCACCCGCCGTGCAGGGGTGGGGGCCGGGGGAAGGACAGTAGGTCCCCGCCTTATTGTTATTTAGGGCCCCCACCCGCCATGCAGGGGTGGGGGCCGGGGGGAGGACAGTAGGTCCCCCCCTTATTGGTATTTAGGGCCCCCACCCACCGCTTGGGGTGGGTGCCGGGGGGCAATAGGTCCCCCTTTAGGTTAAAAGCTGTCTCGTTTGGGGACTCAGGAGGGGGCAATTTTTTTTTTTTTTAACAGTGAGCAGGTCCAGGCTGCTCACTGTTTAATAGACACGCCCCTACTCGCGGTATAGCAAGTAGGGGCATAATTTACTAATACTAAGTGACCAGCTTCTATAGAGGCTGGGTCACTTGCTGCACTGGCCAATCACAGCTTGCCATTAGTAGGCATGGCTGTGATGGCTTCTAAGGGCACACAAGTCAAACGCTTGTTGATTGGCTGCCTTGCAGCCTTTCAAAACCAGTCATTAAATTGACGAACTCCGAACTCCAACCCGAACATACAGTGATATGTCCGTGATCGGGTCCGGGGTCCAAAAAACCTATTGTTCGGTACGAACCCGAACTTTTCAGTTCTGGTTCGCCCCAACTCTACTTGCCACCTTTTCTGCTTCTATTGACATGTGTACATTACTGTAAACTGTCATGCTGTTTGATTTCTGTATTTTCTCTATTAATACACCTCGCAATAAAAACAAAATATTAAAAAAAAAAGAAAAAAAGAAATGTGATGATACGGAGTGGTTTTTAAATCCTTTGTCAATGTTTCTGCAGTTCTTGTTTTACGTGGCCTGATGGTACGTCCTATATATTGGAGGCAGCATGGGCACTCCAATAGACAGATTACATTTTTGCTATTGCAAGTGATTATATCTTTAATATTGTACATTTTTCCAATCTTATTTGATTTAAATGTGGTTCTCATTTTTTCTGTTGGATTAGTCCTTTAACAGGGACAAATGCATTTGCATTTGTAGAAACCTTTTTTTCTACATCATAAAATTATTACCTCTCTAATACGTCTTGTCCAGCATGGCACTCTCACATGTGCAGGAACCTTAGACAGAACTCACAAAACAATCAATATAACTCACCCATTGTCCATTTAATTTGTTTTGTGATGCCGAAGAGAGATCACCAATTCCACAAAATTCTGACAAATTGAGATTCGTTTGAAACTCAATGCTACTCTAGTAAACAAGACCACAAAAGACAGTTGAGATAAGATAAAGATAAAAGAACAAAAATAAAGGACAGAATGGAGCTTTTTAAAATTTGGAAAATCTGGTGCAGCTAAAAATTACCCAAATGTAATATCACTTTTTACACTAAAATATGTGATAAAATAGGAAAAAAGATAAGGTGATTTGCGCACACAGAAAGAAATATTTGGTTCACACTCAAAATGTCTTTGGTAACCAATACACAGAAATGTATTTTACCTATATTAAATAAGTTAAAAAACACACATAGTATAATCTGTATATGTATGTAAAAATATTTCTTCAAACTCACAATTTTCAGAGCCCATTAAAAGTTGGCTCGGTACTTATGGCGCTTTTCATTTCAAGAGATATATGGTGGATTTTCCAAAAGTCGCCATCAGGAACTCGGCACTGCTGCAAACACAGGACCCCCAGAGTCCAGGGAAAGTATTAATAGTTATTTCCAAAGAGATTTTGATTGTGAGGTAAACCAAAATATTTCTTTCTTTTTGCGCAAATCACCTTATTTTTTTTCCGGTTGCGATAAGATGTTAATTGTGAATTCTTTTCTGCCTTCTTCATGCAATATAAATACATTTCAAATGATCAAATTAAATCTATCCAATGTAGTTTTAATGCAAACTCACCCACAAGAAGCCAAACACTGAACTTTACAGATGTACAGTCACGCTTGGAAACGTTATAACCTGTGCTTGTGTCTTGTGTTTCAAATTTGTTATAGTTTCATCTTGAGAGTTGAAGATTTTCTTGCACCAGGAATCAGGGAAGAGAAAGTTGTGTGCAGTACTCAGAATAACTGTGAGACAGAGGGGCCCTGGGCTTCTAAAAAAGACAATCATGGATCATAAGAGATTCCTTCAAGATATTGGTCTGGGAGAGACTTATTTGCAGCTCAGATTCTTGTGAATCACACTAAACAAAAGGACATAGACTTACAAGTTGGGCATAGAAAATAATAATTTCTAAAATACTCTGAAGTACAGCTGGAGGCTGACTCTGTATACATAAAACAAAAATATGCTTTTATATTCCAAAGCTTTGACTTTCGTCTCTAAGATTCTGATCTGTTGTGTTAAAAGAAAATAGGTACGTAGGTAAATAAATAAACATCTACCGCAATTAAAGGTTCTTGGAGTACAGCAGTCAACGATGTAATGTGTTATGATATGTAAGACTGATAAATAAAGAAAAAATAAAGAAAAAAGGGTAATGTTAATTAAATCTGAAATAGATTCCATTTGTTTTCAAAAATAGATATCGTAATGCTGATTAATTTTTATATTAAAATAAAATTAACATTTTTACAAACATTTATGGCAAACTCAGTTTAAAAAAAAATACACTTTATACACTTGAAATAAACACGCTACGAATGTTTTCGACTCTACATAAAATGACTTATCTGGAATGAAAAATGTAGCTTTAAACTGTGTTGTCTTTACTTCATCAAAGCATTCGATTTCACGCAGTTCTTAAATAATTTAAAGGCACATTTGGCATGAGCACATCTAGAATGCATTTAATAGATTTTAACCTTGCTAATATGCTGGATTTTTTGCATGCGCAAGTCTAGTTGTTGGAAGAAAGAAAAATTAATTTTTATAAAACTTCACCATAAGCCAGATTTTTAGCATTCCAAAAACGACTCACTTATCAGGGTAAATAGTCAGCTCAGATGCAAAATAGCCAGCCCTGCATCAGAAGAATAGGACCACAGAGAGACACATAGATCTCGATTTAATCAGCTTTCCAAATGATTTATCTAGAGAAGTCGCCATTAAAGTCCATGAGAATTTTTGCGGCGTATTTTAAGTGAATCAGCTTCACTGAATAATGTAAGTATAGTATAAGCAAACATTTTGCATTAGAAGAAAACAAGGACACAGAATAGACAATATTTACTTGCTTGGATCAAGCACCAAGCACTGACAGCTATCCAACACACAAGCAAGATTGTATCTCTCTCTGGCTCTTTCTCTCTTGTTCTCTCTCTTCTGTTCTCTCTCTCGCACTCTCTCATTCTCTCTATCTCCCTCTCTCGTTCTCTCTGTCACTCTCTCTGTCTCTCTAATTCTCTCTCTCTCTGTTTCTCTC